GTGGGGCGATGTGGGCTGTTGGGCGGCGGAGAGGGCCTCGTGGCGGGCGCGGAAGGCGAGGAGGAGCTCGTTCTCGCAGGCCTCGAGGGCTTTGTTGAGGTCCTCGAAGACGCGGGGGGGCGGGTACTCCGGGTCGGCGTGCTCTTCATCGAGGAGCTTCACCATGGTGAGGGAGCGGCCGACGGTGCCGGAGGGACTGAGGCCGGAGAGGAGCATCTCAACATTGCGGCGGCGGAGGATGCGGTGCATGCGGCTGAAGGCGTCGGCAGCACTGAAGTCGATGCCGGTGACGTGCTGGAGGTCGAAGATGAAGTATTTGATAGGCTTCTGGAGGAAGCGCTCCTCGTCGACGAGCTCGCGGACTCGGTTCTCGACCGCGACGATGGTGCCGAAGAAAAGGTAGCCGGCCAGTTTGGCAAGGTAGACCTGGGAGCCCACTTCTCGGAGGAACCGTCTTTGGAGGGGATGGCGTCGTACCGTCGATTCTGCGACAACGCCGGAGTAAGTAGCGCGGACGGCGGAGACTTGAGAGGTCTGAACGACGAAGATGAGACAGGCAAGGACAATGCCAGTAACAACGCCGACAACAAAGTCGTAGAAGCCCATTATTAGAGAAATAGCAACAATCTGCATATTTATTAGTATCATGGCCTTGCGCCTCTTCAAAGTATAACGCGACTCACCATTATGTATTCCAGCATATGCGTCTTTCCAAAGCTATCCCACAACGCCTCTTCCATTAGTTCGATGCCCAAAAAGTAAATTAGAGCGCCAACGATCATCACCGGAATGTATCCCACGAGCCCCGGTCCCGCAATCCACGTCGCCCCGGTCGCAGCAGCAAGGAGGAGTCCCGCCAGGCGACTATCCCCGCCGTTTCGGATGAATATGGCACTGTTGGCGTACACGAGGTAGTTTTGGATGCTCCCGACGACCCCACTGATCGTGTTGCTCAGGCCGTGCGCGATCAATTCGCGGTTCACGTTAACATCGTCTTCGCCGACGGCGATGGCGAGAGCGGGGACGTTGATCGGCACGTGGAGGATGCCGAAAAAGGAGAGGGCGAACATCGAGGGGATGGTCCGAGTGAGAGCGGCTACGTCGACTTGGTTGAATTCTGCAAATGCGGGTGTTTAGTGAGTAGACTGTCGAGCAAACAAAAAGACCTGAAGGATCTTGGGTTCTTACTGTAGTAGGTATAAAATCTCCAAAAGGGGACATTGCTCCCGGGCTGCTCGAACACCCAGCCAGCATTCCGCACTTTATCCAGGTTCAAGCTGGGCGTGGCCACGACGACAATGTAGAAGATGACGACAATAGCGATAAAGAATCCCGGTAATAATGCCTCGTGATCCCGTACTTTCTTCAGGACACGCAGGAGGACAGCCAGGGCCAAAGGCACGATCCACAGCGGCGCGGTTTTGGCACTGAACAGTTCCTGGGCCGTCTCGAGGTTGTAGCTCAGGTTCCCGTCCAATCGAGCAGACACCTCGATGCCAGTTATGAAGAGGAAGATGCCCACACCGCCGATACAGCCGGTGAGGATGCTTCGGGGGAAGAAGGAAACCAGCGATCCTAGCCGGAGGGCGCCGAGGGAGAAGAATATGAGGCCAGTGACGATGGAGGAGAGAGCATAGGATGTGATGACGGTCGCGACAACGGCTGAACGCTCAGCATCCGGGCCCATGTGGGCGAGGATTAAGTATGTCATTTTGTGGAAGAAGGGGACCACTTCGATCTAGATCCTATTAGTGTGTTGATTGTATGAGTCCGGTCGCATGGAGGACGAACCATTTCGGAACCGACGCCTCCTCGGAACGATGAGGCGCCGCAGGAATAAATTAACTGTGATACGATACAGCTTACGAAGAACATGGAGATACCATCCGGGCCAGTGTCTTCGAAGAACGGATGGCCGAGGGGAAATAGAATCATGCCTATGAAACATTAGCTGAAGGTGTCGACTTCGACAGGCCCTAGCGGAGGGAAAGTGGCCGTCGAGGCGGATTCATAGTCTGAAGTTATACGTCCACCGTGCTGGACGAATCAAACTCACCATAACTCAATGCGTCCAACACATTCAGTAGCCAGCCCAGAAAGACTGCGGGTAACGTCTTTATGGGCGCCATCACCCCTTTCTGCAGCATCGCCCTCCCATTCCACCTCTTCGGCTCCGTCAGCGTTCGAAGGACGTCTACTACGTCCCCCTTCACTTTTCCCCAAGTTGGATATTTTTTCTCCCTGCGTTTAAGCTGCTCTCCTCCTTCCACGTACTGCCCGTGCCCATTCGTGCCGTAGTCTGTCGACGCGTCTTCGGAGACTCGACGTTTCGGGAGTAGCGGAGCTGTCTCCCCTGAGTCTTTCCGACGACCTGAGCGGGAAACTACTTCGCTGCGGGTGCTGGCTCGATCGTTCTGTTCAAGGGGTTCCTGTTGTGCGGCCGACTCTTCCCCCCTTATCAATTCCGTTAATCGGCTTTTTGGTATCGACGACCCCTCCGTCGACGTCTCGTCCTGGCTCGATTCTTCTTCGATGACCTCGGGATGTAAGGAATCGCCGCTAGTCCCCACGTCGAGGTGTGACCGTTCGGGATCGTTATCGAATAGAGCTTCTAGTTGCGGGGGTTGGGAGGGTGAGTCGCCGAGGGCCCATGATGCGAGTTCTTGCGTCTGTTTGCGAACGCCTTCTGAGGAGAATTGTAGCGGTTCTAGCAGGCGGTGGTCAGCACAGAACACGAATATACGCAGTAGGTGTATCGTCCCGATCTAAATCGCACCCACGCTCAGGCCGCCAAAATCAAAATATGGTATACCTACCATCAGGTCCATGGCTTGCACTATGCAGATAGCTCCTCGTCGGCCTCTTCTCAGTTCCCCCGTAGCTTGTGCTCAAGAACTGTGCGCCGAGACTCGCCGTGCTATGGCTTCTTTTCCTGCGGTTCACAGTCCTTCCCCGAGAATATCCGGACACAGATCCACCGTCGAGGTCGTCATCTTCTCCAGCAATAGACCGGTCGTCTAGGGTCGACGAGTCGAGCGTTTGTGCGTATCGATGAGACGATGCGGGAGAGGCGGAGGAGTGATCGAATCGGTGGGAGTTCGTCGGCGGTGGTTTGGAGGGCATCTGGCGGAATTGATAGGAATCGACGCTTCGGCGACGACGCGGTAGCAATCGCTACAATTACGAGGTATAATTGAGACAATAGGATGGGACTTGGGGGTTGAGTAGCAATGTGCCTCTGAGAATTAACAATAGACGCGGATGTTGGTGGCGCGACATGTAAATGACGATATCGCGAGCGGATGAAATTCTGACGTCTCAATTCAATCCGGTCCAGGTAGCTTAGAATACAAATGGAAGATAGATCAATTGAGAAAGGCAAACCAAAAGGACTCAATAGAAAACCGACGGCCCAGACCCAGACGAGAAAGGTTACGAAAGGTTACGCAACTCAGTTAATAAGGTTGGAAGCGGACAATTGACCGGCAATGCCGCTGTCTAGTTAAACCCTGGATTCTTAGAATGAAGATTTCCTCCCGTCATGAATATTGTCATCAATATTGTCTTTCGCACATCAACACTCATCTTCCTCAACCTACCTGACCCTGAAGGCCTGGACTGATAAAATCCCAACGAGTTCCAACGTCAGGAACAGCGCCCCGCATGACGATGCAGATGTCAGATATGAGAATTGAGAATTTAGTGGTGATATTGCGAGCATCGCATGTCGCCCGTCTTCCAATTGACTCCCGAACAGTGTCTGATTCATTCAAGAATACGCTACTCATCCCAAAATCGCCGATTTGGAATACATGGAATACCTATCAGAATCCCCATGGCAGAAAACATTTGCCGATCACATAAGATTTCACCATCACAAGCACAATGACATTATGATATGCAACTCTAATCCTGGTAGCTCAACAGCGCATATCCGCATGGCATATCGTATCGATATGGAAGATCCCCCAATGGGAAGCGCCATTCCGCCACCTCTTCGTCTTACTCTCGTTTTCTCCATGCTATTTTGTTATGCGTTGAGGGGAGATATGGCATCCTTTGATGTTGCTACATGGCCGCCGACGAAGACAACATGTCCCCGTCGTACTCCAGTGGACCTCTCGGTTGAGGCCTGGGAGGTCACTTCCTACCTGTCATCTCTATATTCCATTTGATAAATCCTTTAAGCGTTATTGATCATTTCACGTCCACACACATCAATCTAAGGTTTGTCGGACAGACGGGCCGGGATATCAATGGATTGGTTTGGGTCGTTATGGATGTAAGCATTTGTGCTGATGCCTATATGTTTATGAATGCTAATCCAGCCGACAGGACATCTACGAAATTTCTTCCTCCTTTCCGCCGCCTGGACATTCACCCAAGGCTTGGTTCTCGTGTTTTGGTCAAGAACGGCGCTGATAACGTTGATCACCCACGAGGTCCGGGAACCGACGGGCACGCATCCACCGACCCTACCGTCGTCCCTACATAGAACTTGAAGTTGATCGTGCATCTTCGGTGTTGCTCGTATAGTGACTCCGCTGGAGACAATTATAACTTTGATCACTCAAGAAGTCCGGTTTTCGATATTGTATGCACGCGGTAGTACCGTACTCATAGAGTATTAAAGCTGATCATGAACTCCGCAGCGGTCGAAGAATACCTCAGGTTGGCCCTCTTCCACGCCCTCATTCTCTGCACCACCGTCCTCACCGGTTTCAACTGGTCCTTGTTGAACTCGAGTTCCCCCAGCACCGCAATAGCCGACCGCATCATGCCCAACGTGATCATCTTCAGCACACTCAACTTCCAGTTTGCGTTACTAAACTCCAATGCCGGCATGTATTTCCGCTTCAGCTCTGTGTGCCTCGCAATCTTCACCGCGGTGAGCGGAGGGCTGTTTCCGATGAGCGTCTGGCACCTGATCAGGCCGAAGAGGGCTTTCTGGTATACTCATTGTTTGGGTTGAACATCGGAGCATGCTTGGTGGTGAGTGGGTACGGAAAATTGACCAGTTTGGCTTAGGAAATCTTTTTGAGACGCTTCAGAACCCGATCTAAGCAACGCTTTCTAAGCATATCGATCAGCTTCGATTGTTCCAGTTCAAATATCGTATATAGTCCTAGACAACCTCATAAATTGGGGGACCTAATTGCATGGCAGTATCTTCTGAGCACCGAAACTCAATCATTACCCTTCCTGAAGTATGACTCTCACTCTTAATAATTGAAGTCGATAATTACATAGTTATACGACTCTCTGTTAACTTTGGCTGGAAGAGGACATCCAGAGCGAAGACTATTAATTCATATTAGTGCTCCCTTGCCTTCTACGCTAGAGGATTGTTGTGGTGCTGTCATAGTCTGGATGCAATGCCCGAAAGGGAAACCCTTCCGACATCCAGGCGACCAACATTAAATGCGACGGCAGAGCCTTTTGCCCCTTAGTCACCATTAGACTTGATAGACGAGGGAAATCTTCATAAAGAGCTCATTGGGACGGTCTCAGCTCTACATGATCTTCCAGACTTAATTTCTATTCCGTACACCCTTCATTATCAGCACTTTCGTGTCCCTCCGATTCAAGATGGCCGGATCGTTCTCAGCCCCTCCTGAGGAGCATGCCTTCACGGGACTAGTACGTCTGAAAGCTAGAAAGCCCTCAAGGCTACCATGTACTCCTCCTTCCTGACCTTTTGCAGCTATTCGACATGGACGGCACGATCATAGATTCGACGCCCGCGATCGTACAGCATTGGCATAAGTAAGCGGAGCAGCACAATCGCTCATCTGCGGAACACCACGAAATAGCCTGTAGGCGCTGACTGATGGGGTCAGAATCGGCAAAGAGCTAGGAATCGACCCGAACGTTATTTTGGAGACCTCCCATGGACGACGGTCAATCGATGTGCTGCGAATCTACGACGAGTCAAAAGCGAATTGGGAGTGTACGTAAGGCCCCTGGGATCCATTCCCCCTAACCCCCATCAACACCACTCTTTCACCGTCCTCTCACACCGACCCCCCCTCCCCCCCTCCTTAACCCTAAAGTTCTAATGACCTAGACATCACCCACGCCGAAGCCCAGATCCCCCTCCTCTATGGCTCCTCGGCCGTCGAGATCCCCGGCTCCCGCGCGCTGCTCGAGACCCTCGAATCCGTCGCCGCGCCCTGGGCGATCATCACGTCCGGTACGAAGCCGCTGGTCACCGGCTGGCTCGACGTGCTGCGGCTCGCGCACCCGCGGTGCTTGGTCACGGCGGAGGATGTGGCGGAGGGGAAGCCGAGCCCGGAGGGGTATGCGATGGCGGCGAGGAGTTTGGGGCTACGACGGGATGGTGGGGAGGGGGTGGAGAATGGAGATGGAGTGGTGAGGGTGGGTGGTGGCGGGGAGGTGCTGGTGCTGGAAGATGCAGCAGCGGGGGTGAGAGCTGGGAAAGCGGCGGGGTTCAAGGTGGTTGCATTGGCGACGACGCATACGGTGGAACAGCTGGTGCAGGCCGGAGCAGATTGGGTGGTTCAAGACATGAGAAGCGTGAGGTTTCTGGGTTACGGTCCGGAGAAGGGAGTTGTGACGGTTGAGATTCGGGATGCGCTGCGGTAGTGGCTGGAGAGGAGAGCTACAGTTGAAGCATCATGTCATCGGAGAATGTGGAGCGTCAGTGAAGAGTTGGGCGTTGGGAGTGATCCTGGGAGAATTCCCTGGATCGACGGTGAATCCTTCATTCAAATCAGGGGCTCATCAGGAGTTCTAGATACTTAGACATGCATCGCAATCGAAGGATACACTGCTACATGTGTGGCCTTATGCTCCACAATGTACCAGTATGACGGATTGATACTGGATAATTAGGGCAGAACGGAAGCATTGTGGGCCTTGGATACCGTAGTAGGTGGTTCGGTACTCCGTCCCGTTTGTACAATACCTATCTATAGTAGGATGCTCTTCAAGCCTCAAGGGTCCATGATCCAGCTGCAGATCTTGTAAAGTGAGGTGTCTGCTGGAGTAAGACTGACGAATATTGTAGCCGATTCGAAGTCTCAAGGACTAAGAAATACTTTTCCGTACCTTCATCGTCCAAAATTCTGCTCATCGAGCCAGGACGGCTGAAAGTAAACTGTAGCGGATGTCAACCATACGGTACTGAGAATATACAGCATGGTCTTTCTACGCTGCTCTATCTCTAGCGCGCGTACGCATGGTGACTACCCCTAACCATCCTCTTGTGCTGCAGTCCGGCAAACAATCAATGTAATCTTCAACTTTTATCGCTTTCGTATTTTTTTATTTTCACACTAAAATGGCTCTTCCCGACACGATAGAATAGGAAGTCCGTCCCGAGCTCCTTGATTATGAGCTCCCTGGCTGGGGACCACACCCGATGGATTTGTTCTATACGTCCGCGATCCTGCTGGAATGATATCGACTAACTCTTTGGCAAAGAGCTCGCAGACGACATGAGTGGAACTGCGGAAGTAGAGGCGGCCAAGATAGTGGATGAGAGGGATGCAGGGTGGGGACGTCAGTCAGTTATGAGAAGATTTATGCGCAAACTCGTAAGATAAAGACAGTTGATAGTGATTCGATAAGAGATACCCATTTAGCAATTAACGCATAGCTATACTTTTTTTCTCTCTGGCTAAGATTGTCATATAATGTTCATGGCACCAGCTTCTGCATTGCATCAGCATCAGCATGATCGATAAGGCATCAATTTTACAAAGATTTAGTAGCTGAAACGATACCACGGCGTATCGATCACTAAGAATCGACGCGTATAGTTTACGCCAAGGCCTGCAAGGAGGCTGTGCTGTGAGAGTTTCTGGAGTTACAAAAAAGTACGGAGTACGTCACCAACACCTCTCGAACGGTCCTGCTGGAGCTTTCGGGACCACCACGAATATGATCGCTCAGGAGAAATCTGCCCATCGTCCTGATCGAGCGAATGGCAGGAATCCAGCTCGTACAACAGCCGGCGTGCGACCAGCTGTCGTGGACAAATCAAGGCACCGCGTAACCTGGCGATGTGACTCCACCATTCCGCCGACGGGTGCGTTGCCAAATTTCCCATGTTCATTTCTCTCCCCGACGGTCACCGTGTCTCCCGACGTTCCAAAGAACCGAAAAGTACAACATTCAGCTGCAGTTCGCCGGCAGCGGCGTCCACGCACGCGAAAGTCGGTCGTCCGGCCGGACGCGGTGCGCTCCAGGGCTGCAAGGCACGGAAGCAGACGGCCAACGGGTGGGGTGGGCGAGGAGCACTACCTTGTCGATGAAAGTTGGGGGTGCTTATTCGGAGACTTTATGCCTTATGGTACGTTTATCCTCTTTGCTTAGCAGTCTAGCGGGCCTTTCCAGGACGTCGATCATTTCAAAATTCAAATACTTGGACGCTCCCTTCCACCGGCTTCGGCTGCCGGTGAATGCCCTGGGAGAGCGCCGGGAACTGATGGGAACAATGGACGCCTCAATTGCCGCCTTTACGCCACAGACTTGGGAGGCTGGGAGTCAGGCGACGGAATCGCTGAACACTCGTGGTGAACAGCATCATATTCAGGGACTTTGCAGGTCTCCGAGTTGCTGGTGCCTTGTGAAACCAAAAGGAAAACCTTCCGTACCATTGTAGTTGGCCAATGAAATGAGTGGAAGGCTCGCTGGCTCGCTGCCATTGTGTGAATCTGCGATATTGCTACTTGCTGGTTGGACAAGTCGCCGACAAAAGTCGTTTACCGGATCTAAGCGCTGATGAAATCGGTTCTGATAAGAGGAATCCCGAGCTTGGAGGGAGAGCATTATCATGGTTATGATGACCAAGTGACGATAAACCATCTGCTTCTCAGTTCTCAGGTACACACGATTCTCTTCGTCTCTCGAGAGCTTCAGACCAACAAGGCAACAACAAACCGCTTGGGATCTTCCCTGAACTGTCAACCATCAAATTGTGGTCTCGACTTTGACCGGCTCTGCCTCTCGCCTGGCCTAGCCATCCTCGGGTGTGCTCCCGGCGTGATGCACGCGCGGGGGAACGCTTGCTAGTCGACACTAATCGTACTAGATCGCATCCTAAACAGAATAACGCCCGATTTCCATCGACACTACTCCGTACGGGGGCACGAACTGCGAAAAGTCAATGGCCAATGCTACACCGGATCTCGCGTCGAAATGGAGGTCAATCGGACATAATTAATTAGGCTATTATTCCGAAGTGGATGGCGGGATTGAGGAATCCTCCTGCCACGAGGTCTGCAGTCCGCGCTTCGATGCACTGCAGATTGGCGTCGGGGACGGGGTGAGCGATTCATGCATCCCCCTTTCTTCGCCGATTCGTGAAACGGACATGAGCTGACCATCGACTCGGATGTTGCCACTTGCCAGACAGGCCGAAGAAACTGGCATCTTTTGACGAGAAGGAAGCCAGCATAGCCACGACCCAGTTGTAAGCATTACCCAGTGCGGTAATTAGCTCTGTCAGGATTTTTCCAAAAGGCAAGTACCGTACCGTTTCTTAGTGATGTCTCAGTGCGAACATTCGGAACGAGTGGACCACGGGACGGCTATGACAGATGACTGTCAACTTGCTGATGACTGATGCCCGGACACCAGGGTCAAGGCTGGGTTCCTGATTCCTTCGTCATTGTTTAACCAGGCGCCTCGTGCAAACTGCACAATACTGCAATCCTACCAGTATCATTGCGAAGCTGTATATCTCATTTCTCTCGAGCCAAATATTAAGTCCTATACATACTAGTAACTGTATATCAACCACCTATCTTTGTTGAATATACATCAAGGCATGAAGAAACAGCCAGCTCCTGTCTCATCTTTGTACAGCAGTATAATTAGTCGTTCGACCAGCTGCAGGTGGAAACTGCGAAGGCGGCGTGCATCGCCGAACCCCAAATTTAGAGTCTCAAGGGAGGGATGCATCTACGGCATGCGTGGACGAGTGGACGAAGGAGACAAGGCTCACCCTCCACACGAAACCAGGTCGCAAAACCGCTCTCCAACCAGATTGCTCTCGAGTTACGTACAGCCCCACGAGCGAGCGTTTGAAGTGTGCAACGGACTTCCTACTCAGGGTTTCCATCAAGTGACCCCCAGGCCTCGAACTAGGTCTGGCTGGCTTTGGTACCAGTGATCGTGATCCGCTTCAAGGTCGCCTTTGTCGCATCACATGATGGAGGAGGAAAGAAGGCCTCTCCTGGACTTCTACCTGATAGCATTGCTCAGACTTCAAACATGGAAACGAAGGTAATCATGAAAAGCGACAGGTCGGCGATCTCCTTCGTATAACGGACATCTGGTCGACCACTTCCCGAGTACCACGAACATCCATAGTAGGTACGATCTAGCTCCGCTCCTGGGTCTACACAGACCACACCACCACGGTAGAGGAAAAGTAAGATGGGGACTGGAGCTCCTGAGTGGGCACTCTCCAAACCCTTACGAACTTGAATCCCGCAACTACGGAATACTCCCACGAATGTCGACAATCATAGGAAATTCGTATAAAGATTCCGAAGACCGAGAATCTGCCATGCAAGAGAGCCAACCGATTCACGAGCTTTAGCCTCGCCGGATTCCTTCCTGCATGATTGCATCCATTCGCATTCAGACCCTGTCACCCTGTAACTCCTGATCCCGTTGGCCTGTTGAACAAGCACCGTAAGTCTCCGCCTCTCTCCTGTCACCCACACCCGCCCAGCTGCCCTCCACTATCGCCCCCAGCGCTTCAGTCTCGGCGTCAGGCGTCTGAGCGTCCCAGGAGTGTGTATCCCCCAGACAGGGCTGGCCACTAAGAGATCCGCTACTGGCTCTGCCAGCGACCCGCATCAGCAGCCCGCAGCAGCTCGGCGAGCGATGACAGAGCCAGACCTTTTCCCTTGCTGCTTGGCTGTGCGTCCTGCATTGTTGGATCACCTTCTTCTTCCTCCAGTCTTCGCTCTCTCGTCTCCTCTCTCGTCACCTTACTCGCCTCCACGCCATCGTCCTCCCCTCGTCGTCTTTCCCTTCATCTATCTTCCGCGGTACGATCTTCGCATCGTGCCAGACATTCGCTTTTTGGTGCCTTCCACTCTCCGACACTAATGTCATAATTCTCCGAGTCATTCGCTGTTCGGATTTACATCACTCTCGTTGTTGATTTGGAATCTCCACCACGACCATACTTGCTTTAATCCATTCCTCTCATCCGGTCGACCAGATACATCATCAACTATTACAACATATCGATACCCGGTTCTCACTCGCTTTCCCCAGATGTCACGAAACTCACGAACCCCACGAACCCCACGATCGCAGTCCGAGGTCGAGGAAGAGGCCCGCATATCGCATGCTATGATGGCCATGTCGGCTCCCGGCACGATGTACGTCCAGCATCCCCAAACGCAGCTGGCCGCCTACTGGCCGCACCCGATGGAGAATACGTACCATCACGAGCATGACCAGTACGTCGCCGTCGCGCTGCAACCGGTTGCGACGGAATTGCAAATGAAGCAGCACCCCAATTTGCTTCCCCCATGCGGAGACGTCAAACCTCGTCTCACCAAAGACCAACACGAGCTTCTCGAAACCCATTTCCGAGGCGAGCCCAAGCCGACCACGCAGACAAAGAAGGATATTGCTGAAACCCTGCAAACTACGTTAGATAAGATAAATGTATGACAATTTCGTTTACTGAACCCTCGGTGCGATCGCAAGAAGCTAACGTTACCAGAATTGGTTCCAAAACCGTCGAGCTAAGGTGAAGCAAGACGCAAAGAAACAGGAAATGAACCAACGAAATCTTATCAATGTCCTTCCCAACGCGCAAATCAGCGTGGTCGCGGTACCGCCTCGTTCGCGGACCTCTCAGGTACCCCCGTTTGGCCAGCCCGGAACCACCGACGACGACTCAGGATCCGGTTCGCGGCCCTCGACGAGACGAGACTTTGGCAATGCTGCCTTCATCCCCGGAACAGGTCAACCGAGCTCCGGTCAACAGAATGTGGGTAATCCAACTTTTTCTGGATACGAAGTGCCCGAGTCGGTCCCTGACCTCAATGGATTCACCGTTCCGCGGCATCTCCAAGCGGAGGGACAATCCATGCGCTTCCAGTTGTCGCGGCCACATATGGTTTCAGGATCTAGGGGAGACGTGTATTACCCATCTCCACCCACGGAGATGGGCGCCTATCAATCGCAATCGGATTCCGACGAACCGCACATTACGATACCTCACGATCAGGCTAATACACAGGTCGATGGCAGCATGACTGACGATTCAATGCAATGCTCGTCGACCATGAATCCTCCCTTTCCGGAAGCGACTGGTTTCAGGTCTTGGCCATTGGACGGAGAACCTTCGATCTCAATACAAACAGCCGACGCCTTCGATGAGATCTCGAATAGCAATCCCGGCCTTGAGAGCGTTCATTCGACTCCTATTGTTTCTTCCGAGTGTTGGCCCAGTCAAGTCCAGACCGATTCTCTCCTTCCAGGGCACTCCTACCAGCAGGTCGATCACTCGGCTTCTCTGACCGGCCAACAGAACGAGATGTTGGGCAATCATGCCCAGCCGGATATGAATGGTTCTTTAAACGCGGCGAGACGCAGGTCTTCAGCCGCTGGCATTACGGACACTCTTCTCGACAGCAATATGCAAGACCCCGACCTAACCGAGTCGCCTTTCAAACAACCGACTCGTACAGGCTTGGGCGACCGTCGAGCCCGCCGTCCTGCGAATCTCACCGTCCCTCGGAGCGCGTCCTATTCGCACGGCATGTCTGGCCCTGCATCTCCCGGCAACCTCTCTGCCACGCATGCTGCCGACCTGTCCCTGCGCCGCATTCGATCATCCGGACTCGGCGCTTCGGCAACTGGTCGCATTCAAAAGAGCACCAACCCTACCCCCACCCAACGATCTCCCCACCACCTCAACTTCGCCGACGCGGCTAACTTCGCGTATGCGAATACGCAGACGTCATCCGGCCCAGGAACTGAAGTTGCACTAGGCCCGCTCACCCCGTTGACTCCTGCCGACTTGTCTCAGCCGTGGATGCATGGCATTGGTCCGTGTAGCGAAATCGACGGCATCCATTCCTCCCCTGACTCCTACAATCCTGCCGGCATGTCCTTCGCTCTGTCATCTGCTACCTCGTCTGTCTTCCCTCCGGGCATGGGCACTGGTACATCACCGCCGACCACCCCGATGGATGCCGACCAAGTTCTGAAGCACCAGTCATTCATGAACGTCCGTGCCCAGCAGATGCATTACACTCCGCCCCAGAGCGCCCCTGCCACGCAACAGACGTTCGGACCCGCAGCGATGGTTATCCCGCCCAGCTCGCAGCCGATGCAGTTCGAGGATCCCCAGGACCATCACGCCACTGCAGGGCTAAGCCGGAACGGGAGCATCCGTCGCCCCTCTCTCCCCGACGTCTCCATGATGTCCTCGATATCCACCGACATCCACGCGCACGAGATGTCCCTCACCACGGACGACATGTCCATGAATCCGCCGTTCTGGGGTCCGGTACCCATGTTCAACGAGTCCGGTGCCCTGCAATCCGCCTACCCTACACCCGACGGCAAGCTGCAGTTCGTCGGCGTGCCCTCCTCTCAGTTCGCGCAAATGGACACGCAATGCCAACCCTTCGCCCCGCAACTGCAGCAACCACCGCACCTCCACCCGCTCCACTGCCCATCCCCCAGTTCGTCTGGCCACTCGCCGCACTCGCAACAGCTGACGCCGCAGCCGCACCACCTGCAGCCGACCCTCTCTATGCAGTCCCTCTACTCCGCCAGCAGCAGCAACTCCAGCGCCATGGGCTCCGCCACGGCGCCGCCTCAGCAGCCCGGGATGATCGCCACGGGGCTCGAGGTGCATCAATACCAGCCGCCACGCAAAGAGGAGAGCTACGGGTCGGGAATGAGCGAGCAGCAGCAGCAACCGCCGCCACAGAAGGTGTATCAGTTCATCAAGGAGGAACCGGCGAACTATTCCGGGAAATGATTGGCATTTGTAGCGAGGTGCATGGGTGGTGCGCTATGGAGTCACGGTTGAACCTCCGGCGTTTTGAGCGATGAGTTTTGGGTGGGATACAAACGGATATGCGTAATGGACGATGAACGGCGAACATTTGGGTTGGAGAATGAAGCGATGGGATTTTACCCCTAGGAATACACCCTGCATTGCATTGCATTTTGCAAAAGCTACGATATCGGAGGACTCAGCGGCACGGGACGTCCCTTTTCACGGTGTTTCAAGCGTTTCGGGTAATAATGTGATTTGGGAGGACTATTCTCTGGGAACCACGGAAGCGCGCTGAAGACACTCCTTCAGGTCTACACTGTATTAATGATAATCAGCCTGCGATTTAATTTTCTTTTTCGGTCCTATTGAGCGCATACCTATTTGCTACGTCACTACAGCCACTTTCCAACCGGCGGACAAAAACGAAGAGGCATGACTTTTGAATTTTCAACCATGTATTCCGTGTCCTGGATGATGTCGATGTCTCGCAAAGGTGGAGTCTCGCCATGGGTTTTCGGACTTTTCGGTGTCCGAAAACGCATGGCGTGGCACCAATTGCTAACACTTTGAGGCTTTCCCGTTAGGTTGGAGTTGGGAGTTGGGATAGCGGACAGTCGAGCGAATCTTGATGGGTAAAGATGGATGCGACCGCCGCTGGGTTTATGAACTGGGAGGCAAGGTATACGGAAGCATCAGCAATGTAATGAGACATTGATGATGGAAATATATTTAGTTAGAAACGGATCTCCTTTGGGTCTTGCACTTGTAAATATTGAAGCATGGCTAAGGAAAGAGAGTCCCAAAAACGGGACGTTTTGAGAACCAGGCGCTATACAGTAGAAGCCAACTCCTAGAAGCAACCAAAAATATTTAGTATCTCATTAAGTACCTGTACAGTTTGATCCCGCCCCTTCGCTGTGCATGCCGATCTGCTTTGCTGGTGGCAGATCACACGTCAGCAGAGGAGAATTCCGACGTCGATCAAGACAACACGATCCTACACCCAATATACCCCATCGAATCCGCGATGGTACTCATACATGAACGCCCTGTTGAATGAGAAACAAGTGATGGAAACCGTGGAATGCCCATAATGCCGAAATCCACCCAGAAGTCTGAATCCCCGAGGAAAGGCCCTGATGGAACAATCACGAAGAACTAGGCCGCTTAGAGCTCAGTCTTCCTCGTCTTCCTCGTTTTCTTCGCCTTCCTCGTCTTCCTCACTCTCATCCTCCTCCTCGCTCTCATCGCCCTCATCGCTCTCATCCTCATCGTCGTCCCCCTCCATCACCCACCTCCCCATCCCGGCCACCGGCCTCACCTTCAACGGATGCTCATTCTCATAATCCGTCACCCGCTCGTCTTGCAGCCGCGGTTCCGCAGCCCGTCTTAGAAACGCCGCCTCTCGCGCCGCCTCTCGCTCCGCCGCCTGCTCCACCCGTGGCGCTGCCGCCCGCACTACCTCCCGCTCCGCCACTCTCCGTGCCTCTCGCTTCGCCACCCGCTCCGCCTGCTCCCGTCTCGCCTGTTCCCGTGCTACCTCCGTCCGCCTGAGCTGCTCGTCTGCGCGATCATACCTTCCCTCGCGACGTAGCGCGATTTGGGTGTTGATGAGCCCTTCCTCGTACCTGGCGTGGTCCGCGGCCTCGGGGTCGGGGTGTTCGAACCCTGCAGCCCCGGCCCGGTCCCAGTCGTCGCCCCAGAATGCTTGGCGCTCGACTTGCACCGGTGCGTCGCCTGGATTGCCCACGTTGCCGTAGCCTTGAAGGTAGGGGTTTTGTTGGGCGGGAAAGGGGGCATTTGCTGGATTCGCCGGTGGGGGAGGCGCGACTGCTCTTCCTTGTATATCCCACGTATCCATTACGTATTGTTCTGGATTGTGGTATGGAGTCTCATAGCGCAAGCCTGCTGGTACCTGAGGAAGTTGGCGGGGTGGAAGACCGACTGCAGCGTTGTTCGCAGGGTGGGCAGGTTGCGGAGGGTTGCGGCGCTCTCTCTGGTGATTTGGTGGACGCAAGTCAATTATAGGTAGGGGGGGTGGATTCTGATCGTTCTGCTCTTCATAATCAGCCGACGCATCATCATCGTCAGAACCGAGGTCTACCAGAGTGTTGTCATCTACAGCATCTCTCCCCGGTCTGTCGCGGGCTCGCTCCATCTGAGCATCGAGCCTATTGCGAGCATCCTCGAGTCGGCCTCGCGCTTGGTTCATTCTGTCTAGTTGTGCTTGGTACTCGTCGTTTAGGTGGTCCCTATTCCGCGGCAAGCCTGCTTCGCCTAATGCGCCGGTTGCTTGAGGATGTGGAGGTTCAGCCGGTACACGATAGTGAAGTTCGCGTTGGACATCCCTCAGACCATCCCGGATTTGTTGGAAATTACCCATCCCGCCTTCTGGGCCGCCTACAGGCGCATTATCCTGAGCACCCCGAGCGAGGAGGAGTCGTTGCCGATTGTGTGCCTCTAAAAGTCGAAGTTGGGCGTCCATTTGGGCGTCCATTTGTCGGCGCCGCTCCATATAGGCACCATAAGCTGGGGGTCGAGGGAAGCCGGGGGGGATTTCTGCTATGGGAACTGCGAACCCCTCTCCTGGCCGTGGATGATGTCCTCCTTGTCGACGTGCCTGTTCTTGTTCGGCCTTTTTCACGGCCTCGGACATCTCGACGGTGAGTTCTGCATCGGTGAGGTCCCCGTATTCCCTTTTGAGCTTCTCACGGGCAGTTCGACCAGCATCTTCCACTTCTCGTTTATGCCGATCGAACGTATCGTCAGTCAGTGGGCATTTTGAGCTATTCCCGGCTCCTGGGCGGTCAGACCGGAAGTGATTGTAGTCGGTGACATTCTTGCCGCAAACATAGCATTGCATGTTGCGGCACTTGCTGCAAATAATCTTGTTGCAGCCTTCATCTTTGTAGAACTTGAAACTGCATTTGTTGCACGTGCGCACAAGAGCTTCGGTCATTGCTTCTTCCACCTCGTGTCGAGCAGTAGACTTCTTTTCTTTGCGGTACTCCTCACAAGAAAGGGGGATGTGACTTTTCTCGTTGCACCGACGGCAACTGACAATGGAGCACTCTGGATTGCGGCATCGGAACTCATGGTCCTCTTCAATAGGACCAACAATCTCTTTGTAGTCGCAGAAAGGGCAATCCCAAAGCCCTTCGATTCCCGCGGCCGCGATCTCCTCTTGCTGTCGACGACGCTCAATGACAAGAATGGTCTTCTCAGATAGAACTTCGCGAAGCGTAGACATCTCAAACGGTGTTGTGCAACCGGATTCATGCATGCAATTGAGCTGGTGAAGACCTTTACCAATCTCCGTCGCCGCGAGTTGCCGGACACAATCTCTGCAGAACTTGTGAAGGAACTGGCAGCACACTGTCCGATTGACGGGGGTATCGCCAAAGCAGCAGCCGCATTCAACCGTCTGGCCTTGTACGATTGCCTGCTCTTCATTGATACGTTCTGCAACCTCCGCTTTGGCGGCAGCGAGTTCTTTCGCCATGGCATGACGTAAACGTTGGGTACCTAGGCTAGCAGCGGAGGCGTGAGTCTTTCGAGGATGATGGAGCTGGTGATAAGGTTTTTCGCCTTCCTTCGTCGTGGTTTTACGTTCCCACGCTTCTAACTCGAGATAGGCATGATACAGAAAGCCTTCCCCTGAGATCAAGTCCTTGATGTAGTTTAATGGCACAGTTCGGAACTCGTTGGCCAATATCCCTCGGCTGAAGCGTATAGTTAGCAACCAGATGGGTGCGGTGAAGAGAGAAAACAGCGATGCAGGGTAATTGAAACCTGCGCGTTCAAAAGATGGATATAATCACTGTGCTGGGCCAAAAGCGCTGAAAGTTGCTACGTGACTTGTGCCCCCAAATAAGTAAGGCCGGGTCGCGATGATGCTCCTTGATAAATCGCTGCGGCGACACGAATGTCTCGATACTATGGTACAAAAGATTGGAGTTGTCAGGTCCGCCGGTCAATCGTCATCGACAGGGCGACCATCACCACAAGTAACCGATGGTAACGGAAAGGTAAACTAAAGCTGCTGACTTACCCTACGGCTTGATAATTGTCGCCTCGATCCCTTGTTTTCAATGCCCACTCCTGGTTGAGGCCATCATTCTGGTCCTCGGGATCTCGCTTCCGCTTCTTGTCCTTCCGCGGATAACTTCCCGCTTCCGCAATGCTGGTGATCGTATTGGTAAACCACGCGAGGTCCGGGGCTGCGGAGATGATGCGGCTATTCCACAAATGCTCGACGTGGTTGGGAGCCATGTCGCCGTAGATCTCGAGTATCCTAGTGCCGAACTCATTTTTATTGACCAGCACTGCATCATTTGGGGATGGTTCTTCGGTCAGGATCAGGTTCTGGGGGGCTGTCGCTTCCTCTACCATCTCTGAAAAAACGTCGTTGAAGTAGTCGGTGTTCTTCCACGAGTTGGGATCATCATCGTTGTCCTCATCATCGCTCGATATGATAATGCGATTATCCCACGGCTGGTCTTCCGGAGGGATACCAGCCATATTGGCTGTTGTGTGGGGAGATCTCAATGAGGGCTGCCGATCCCAGGACATACGGTCGGGAAGCTGGAGTATATTCCGGGTGGAGAAGGGAGTACTGATGTTGGGGATATGACCAGCAAAGACATGCACAGAAGTTGAACCTCTAGAAAAAGCCTCGCAGAAAAAAGATGAATTCGAATCTGTCAAATGGAAGCGAAAGGTGAGAGAGAGTCCAGTTCGCGCGGCAGCCTCGTGCTCGGCAGCTTCCTCAGGAAATTCACCGAATGACACGCTGCGACGACTAAGCGGATTAAATGTTAGATATGGCGATGGAGCGGCACGGGCAGCTCAACACGGCCGGATTTCCACATGGAATCATGTTAATATGATTCACACGGGGCACACAGAGGCGACATGATAATGAACTCAGCAGAACTCAGCAGAACTCAGCAGCGCTCGGCCCGATCCAACGGTCGATATCCACACGCCAGAAGCATCCACAGAAGATCTGGGCCAGAAGTGCTCAACAGCAGCCTTGTTCAGGCCGTTCTGAAGAATGGCTCGATGCACATAGAAAGAATTGGCCACATGTGAATACAATCCTCATCGACCGACGAACGGACAGCCTGTATATGAAGGTCGACAGTGAAAGAATGTGCAGAGAAACAAAAGTCCAAAGAGCAGAGAGCAAAAGGAATGAAGCGGCCTCAACCACGGTCGAGCAGAATCCCGTATTCAGGTCATGCGGTTTGGTAGGTCTCTCGCCTCTTTGCCGCTCTAGCAGCTTACTGACGACCAGTGACAGTCACCGGGTTGTGTTACACCTTACACGGGAGGAAGCAAGGCTAGGAATATGTCCGACTCTCCAAGGCTTGACAGTTGACAGCCACCACGCTTCGCTTGCAGTGGACAACTGCCGGGACAGGAGTGATGCCTCACAACTCACAAGGGCTTTGACGGGAGCTGGATTGGGTGCAGCACTGCAGAGGAACGAAAGGGGAGGGTGGTCCTGGTCCAGTAGCGGTACTTGTAGCACACTTGGACGCGTTCTGCGCTGTGGAGAGACAGGAAAAAACAAAAGGTTCGGGCGGGTTCGTGCTCGACTGCACGCGTCTGCACTCTGCAAACCGCATTCTGTACGGAGTAACAGCCTGTACTAATTAACAGTCGGCCGCCTGGAGCCATTATGATAGGCCTTACTCTTTAGGGACCTACCCTGAAGGAGACGCTAGTCCCTGTTCTGTTAACACTAGCCCATATGGCGTTAGCACGCCACAGAGCCCAATGGGGGGTGAATCAATCATTCATGGCACTGTGAGACAAAAGCGCGGAGCGAGCATCGGACGGGAACGAGCATCCGGAACTGAAACTGGCAGCATATAATTACGGAATATAGATTACGGGCTTGACAGGTATATCCAAATTTCTCTCGCATCTCACGGAGATTATGGTGCTATACCTGTTCATCAACGTATCGTGGATGCATAGCCTGTCCTACGCATGATACCTCCTGCGCAGAATGCCTCCTGTTTTCTCGAACGTTGTCAGAACTTAGTCAGATGTAATGAACGCTTAGGTTTAATCGGTGATCGATCTCACTGCCCAATAGACAACATCAGATCGTCTTCAAAGAATCTGTCATGGCCTCATGCGTGATACACCACTGCCCATTGGGTCTGGATTCTGCAACCCCACACCAATAACGATGCGACAGAAGGAATTCCTGCAGCTCCAGAGCATCTCAATCGCAGGATTGCACGACACGGATTGGCAGCTCCCATGGCTAGAAGTCTAGAACCAAGCCCAGAACCATGTTGGGCATGATGCATCAGCAGGAGTCCAGCAGCGCCCGATCGCTCGCGACCGCAATCAGCTCGCTGTAGCAACCAACCTCCCCATCAGCCATCACCGGGTGCTTGACATTGCCCACAATCGCTAATTTGTCCCCATCGCTTCACGACGGATGGCATCGGGCAACCAGAATTCCGCATAGTCTCCACTGGGTCGCAGTATCGTCCAACTTCATGCTCATTGATGTTTGCCATCTTCTCGAGTAATCGTGCTATCCCTCGGAAACTAGACCATTAGAGGTACGGGTCACGCACACGACGCGAGGGATTCTTATTCGTTGCTTTGCTTTGCAGTCGGTAGACGCAATAGACCGTGTGACGCATTTCCAGCTCGTTGCCTCCCTACCGTGCATACATCAAGAGAAGGATTTTCCATCGGGATATTTCATTCAGCATATAGAATCAGTGACCGGGACCCCAAGACTCTCGACTCATAGATCCTTCATTTCGACTTCCGGGACCGAACAGCGGCACAACCCATCCAAATGGCGACCGTCCCCTCGAAATTCCCCGACGCGAAATCCCCCTCCGTGCACCTCGCCCATCCGACCCCCTCCGAGCGCCGCGCCTTCCTCACGAACAATGGACAATCATGGCGGGGCAACCTCACCATCGAGCAGTACCTGGTGCGCGAGGACGCGGTGTACGACTACCTGACGCCGGCGAACATGACGTACTGGGTGCTGGTGGACGGCGATGGGGAGGAGCGCATGGTGCTGTCGAGCTGCGAGACGTACAAGAGACGGGGGATTGTCGCGAGGGAGGGGAAGGTAAAGGATGTGGTTGGGCATGGGATTGGGAGCGTGTTCTGTAGGCCGGAGTTACGGGGACGAGGCTACGCGGGGCGCATGATGGAGGAACTGGGTAAGAAGCTTCAGCACTGGCAGACTGAGGAGCATGAGTGTCTATTCAGCGTGCTATTCTCCGACATTGGCAAGGTACCCTCCCTCCCTCCCGTCCTTCTTCCTTAACCTCCCATCTAAACCCCAACCTAGAAATACTACGCCCAATTCGGCTGGCAACCCTTCCCCTCCACCCACCTCCACCTCGCCACCATCCCTCTCACCACCCCCTCCCTTCCCTCCCTCCCCCCTACCCGCCCCCTCACCACCTCCTCCCTCCCCCCCCTCTGCACTCTCGACGAATCCCTCCTCCGCCACCGCCTCCCCCCCACCTCTGCCGCCTCCCCCTCCACCTCCCTCGTCACCTTCCTCACCACCGCCGAGCTCCTCGGCTGGCACCACGTGCGCGAAGACGTCATTGCCACCGCGACATTCGGGCGGCCGGCGGAGGTGCGGGGCGCGGTCTGCGGGGAGGAGGGGGAGCGGGTGTGGTGCTACTGGTTGCGCAGCTGGTATAATGCGGATGGGACGAACACTGAGAGGAATCATTTGCATGTGTTGCGGATTGTGGTAGAGGGGTGGGACGGGGCGGATGGAGGGGCGGTGGGGGAGGGGAGGGAGTGGGTAGGGGGGATCGCGGCGGTGTTGGACGCGGCGAGGAGAGAGGCGAGTGGGTGGCAGATGGAGGGGGTGGAGGTGTGGAATCCGAGTGAGGTGGTGGTGGAGGCGGGGAGGTTATTGGAGGGGGGGTGTAGGGTAGAGGAGAGGGAGACGGAGAGTATTCCATGTTTAAGGTGGTATGGGGAGAGGAAGGGGGAGAGCGTGAGGGACGACGTCCAGTGGGTTGCGAATGAGAAGGCGGCGTGGTGTTAGTGTTGGCATCGGACATGTCCTTCATGCTCAGGATGGGTACGGATAAGGGGATGGTGCGGTACTGACGGTTTTTACAAGACATTGCGAACCCTCGTCATATAAATTCAGCAACGGACAATTTAGCGATACGATTCACTCATGAAGCATCATAATGGAAATTTCACGACATTACATAGACCATATATGTAGTCTGAACAGGAGAGATGCTCAAAATATCACTAAACAAAGAACACCTCCGGACCAATGACGATCCCGCCAAGTAAATCTTCCTAGAAATCCCCGATCCTCGACGATCTCATCTTGACTTTTTCCATCCTCACCTTTCGATCACCGAATGAGCGTAAAAAGATGATGTTGCGAGACCGACCTGTCACATCGCTACAAGCCGGCCCCCCTTCCACCAGCCCCCAAAGCGACGGTGGTGGACGTGGTGGGGGTCCCAACTCCCCCGGCCCAGTCCCGTCTCCTCTCCACCCCCCATGTGTCCGCAAGCCAGTCCATTCCCACCCCCATGTCCGGCTGGGCTTAGGTGAAGAGTGAAGGACCCCCATCCCATCTCCGCCCGGCAATCGCCATGGTTGCCTGCGTCGATGCATCGACGGGGAGGTTGGTTGACGACCACGCATCTGCTTCTGGTTGAGCTGCGGCTACTTCGTCGCGTCCACTTTGGTCATCATCGGATATAATATACCGCTTTCATTGTCGACTCATTGTGGACCTGTGCGGTTGTTCATGAATAGCAGAGACAAGGCTCCGTAGCACACAGGTTGGCTCTCCCTCGCTTTAATTTGCGATAGGCAATGGGATTGGTCCTCATCACAGTCCACAGGTCTCCTTACCTACTTATCTAGCGATTCACGGGAACATATGGCGAGGGACGAGACGCTCCATGGTATTGTTGACTTCCCATTTATCTGGTCCAGCGCTAACCCGAGATCGATAGAACGTATCGGGGCCCAGCATCGTCACTCGAAAAACAAAAGTGAGTCCCTTCATATGCCTTTTCTAAATATCATATGTCTACCAGTACTGCCGTGATTCTAATACACTCTGTCCAGCTGCCTTAAATCACCCCTCCCCATCCAGACATCTTCCTTCCGCTCAATCCAAGACCTCCAACCCCGGACCAACCCTCTCGACCGACCTCGACGACCGCGAAGCTCGACTCCGAAGGATCCAGGACATCAAAAACCAATATCTCAAAACCGGCGATCTCCCTCCGTTACTGTGCACAGAACTCCGGGGACCCTTCGACAAAGGCTGGGCCAATCCGTGGGAAAGTCCCCCTCAGCGGCCGGTGTTGGAGGAACCTCAAGATTCTGTCCCCGATATAGAGGTCTTACAGGTCAACTCGGAGAACGCGGCAAACAGTGTCGTGGGGAGGAGATTCATCCCGAGTGAAGCGGTGAATATGGCGAGGGCATATGATCAGAGCTTGCTAGCCTCACATGACGGACGGGCTTATGCTGTGGATATTAACACTGAAGACTTGGATTTCCTCGCTGCATCTTCCCAGCAGGAAATTTCCTCTGGGAAAGGAAATGTCACCCGTCCCCCTATTGACCTTCGGAGCGTCCTCAACCATGTCGATCAAGGCATCCGTGCCGCGACGATTCTCTCCCAAGAAGGCCTCCGCGTTGCGTATCAAGGCGCCCACGACGTCCGTCGCAAGCGCAAAGCGGCCGACATGCTCGAGGACGGGCTCGCCGAGGCCCGCCACCTATCCGAGGCGGCGATCATGAAGGCCGTGCGGAATAACTTTCTGCTGAGCGATTCCGGCGACGTGCATCTAGCGCGGGGGATGGACGGGATGGCTCAACATATCAATGACGCGGGCCTTCCGCCGCGTCGGGGAGGGAAGAATTCCGCGGGGATGGGAAGCGGTGGGTTTCATACTTCGCCGAACTTCGCGTACGCTCCGGGTCGGTCCACGATGGAGGTGTCCCCGCCACTCTCTGCGCAATCGAGCGCCCCGAGTGATTCGTTCAGTCCCAGCATCGCGAACACCCGTTGGTTCTTCGAGCCGAATCGCGAGGACATCGAGTACTTGGACCAAGTGACGAACTCCGCCATCACCGATGATCGGGATACCGAAGGGAAGACGGTCAAGGAGCATATTCTCGAGATCCACCAGCGAAACCATGGGGCGGTGCTGACGATTGAGGAATATGAGCGGAAGCAGATGGAGAGGAGAAGGCGGCAGAAGGGGCTGGAAGGGGAACGAAAGCGAGCCGGAATGGTCGTGGCGGGGGAACCTGGAAGCGAAACGGAACAGACACAATTGTTGGAGCGAAGCATAGAGCAAGCTCTACAGGAGGAGATTCACGCGCATGATGGCGACGCTGGCCAAGCTATGGAATTATCCGACGACGGCAGGATCTCCTGGTCTCCCGGCGAATATCTCCGTGCCCCAGAGCCTCATCATCTTGACCATCCCCGCAACGGCGCAATCCACCACTCCGCCACCGAGCTCCCAACCCAACCGCGCAACAACCCTCAGTCCAAAAAGCGCGTCCCCACCTCCCAGGGCCTCGACTCGACTCATTCCCCTTCTCCTCCGCACAAGCACCAACGCGGAAGCCTCTCCCTAACCGACTCCTTCACCACCATCCTCAACGGCGACCCTCCCTACGTCTTCCAATCCACAGACCCTCCCCCCCGCAACGACCCCACCATCACGCCCACCCAATCCACCTCCCACCCGCTCTTCTCTCCCTCCCCACCCACCACCGCACCTCCACCCGCCACAGCCGGATGGAACGCCATCAACGCATACCCACCTGCGCCTTCGAACTTGGTGGCCACCTCATGGGCCCCGCCATCATCTACCACCCATCGCAAATCACCGATGAATGGCGTAATGGTGGGGAAGGCGCACGCGCCGTTCGAGTATGCGGGGCAGGGGACCCAGGAGGTGGAGGTGGAGCAGGTGGTGGGTGAGGCGATACAATACCTGAATCCGTATGAGGGGAATCAGGGGTCGGGGTGGTGGGCTTGAGTGCGGTGAGGGATGGGGTGGTACGCGTTTCTTTGAGGGGAGGTAGGGGGGGGGAAGGGTGTTGATCCGCGGGAAATTGAGAACCGTAAATGGAAGGCTTGCTCCCTCGCGCATGGGTCCATCCATTGTGAGGTGAGTGAGCCATGGAGGCGAGCAAGGGCCTCGCGTCGGGCAGTGGGAATAGCTAAATAGAAGGACGACATGGTATCCGGAGAGTAACCATAAAAAAACCAACACAATCCAGTCAATCGCCATGACCTATTGCTCCACGTGACTGTGCAATTCCCCTCCCTAATCGACGCAACCCAGCCAATTCCAAATGGATCCATTCACCCCCTTCTACGATGAATAAGAATCGAATATATATACTCTTCCAACCCAATCTTCCCAGCGGAAAACGGCCGGGTCGTTAGTACAGCCGATAAAACTGCTGTGGAAGTCTATAGGGGAGAGAGGCAGCTGGCCATCCAAGGATCGGACCAGTTGTTCATCTCTCGAATTATGCACATCGGAAGTTCGAGTCCGGGCAGGGGCGTATATTTTGTTCTTGTTTTTTTGCGGAGAGATAATTCTTTGGCTTGTCAGTGTACTAGGGGCGTCTAGATTTGGCAAGAGCTTTGTATGATGGGTAAGAGGCTCGCAATATCTGTGTTGGGCTTCTGGACGTCTCTTTGAACGGAAATCGGGCGGACCGTCGCGTTGAGTGTTTAAACCGGAATTTAAGGACCTGTCGAACGATCGAAGCGGTTAAAGGCGCCCAGAAATCACTCATGGAGCCTAAACAACGGGATGACGCTACGAAGTATTTATATTCAGGCAGGGATCGGCCGGCATAGAGTACTGGAGGACAAGAAAATAGCGCACCTACGACTCAGAGAAAGGAATTCGTCCATTGAATGCGGGGGCTCAACCGATGAGCTTTGATCGTTACACGCCGAAGTAATAATCCAACGAGTACCGGATACACTACCTTTTCATTAACGACGGAGCTGGTGGCGATCGAAGGGGCCGAAGGTCCGTTGATAGCCTAGGGACTATAGGCAACGCATGAACCAGCAAGGCCGAGGATCCACCCATCTGAATATAAAAACAGATCGGTCGTTGATCACGAACGGAGGTCCGGAAGCACCCGCGTCTATCGCGGTCGAGGGGGCGGCAATCGTCTCCAACGCGCTGCCAGACGTAGGTTCCCAGCAGGGCAGGACCCGCGTCCCCCTGGCATATGCACGATCTGGACCACGTTCTTGGATGATTGGAAGGAAATGGTCGATGGATTCAATCAATGGGATTCGGGATTGGAAAGCAGCGGTGAATGATGGATGGGCGGATCGTCCAGGGAGATACACAATGGAATGAATAGGGCTTTGGGATCGTATTGATGATGGATGAGGACGAGACATTGGAACATGAAGACCAGGATACATGCGGATTGGATCATCCATAGTACCAAGTACATATGTATGTGGAAGACTATTTTATATGTCCCACTGCAGCATGGTGGAAAGATTTGCTGGGACCTGGACAAGCTGGAAGGGTGATCCACTACCTGGGCTGTGCGGAGTACCAGCGGAATGAACGGGGGAGAAAACGTGGGTAGAAAGGAAGAACATTAATGGACGATAGATGAACAGCCATCAGACCTATAATATCGGGTTCATCTAGGTTCCGGACTTGAACAGAGAGGCACAGAATCCAGCGGTCGAGCGTATAGGAATAGAAAGTTCCGGTTGTTACATCCGAATCCCCCCAGTTGGTGTTGAGAACAATACGAAATCTGCCAAGCCCAAAACGTCATGCTCGTTGTCGTTCCGCGTTGTGCGATCGCCAATTGACTTCCAACGCCATTTCTTTTCCTCCTTCATCCATCGCAACAAATTCGACGCTTTAACCTCCACCATCCGACTCACGCATCCGCTTGCAACCACCCCATCTTATACCGCCATTGGATCGCAATCGCCGAGCTTGGATTGACAACTCGTGTTATTGTCCGTGGGGTTCTCCACCGGTACGTATTGATTCACACCGATCGGTCCTTGCCCGCCGCCACCACTTCATCCTCGCCCCACATCCCTTGATAATCGCAAGAATGAAGAGTACGGAACGGACATCCACTGTGCGGACTGACAGAGTAGATCAGTGACAAGCACGCACCGACACCGTGGCTGCGTCCTCTCTCATCCACCCACCCCTCCCTAGGCGGTTCGTTGTCGTGAGAGTGTGGTCTCTCCAATGTCCCGAACATGGCGAACCCACCCCGCCCTCCCGATAAGTATGCAAGACCCGCCTTCGCGAGTCGCCATGGCGGACCTCGCGACATCTCCACCCTCAATTCCTCATCTGCTGACGGCCACCGCCCGATGCATCACCCCGCCAGCTCGAACGGTGAGGACGTGACACCCGTCAAACTCGCATCCGAGGCGAGGTCGAAAACCACCCCGATCAACGCCGAAGCCCTTCGATCCAAGTTCACCCAGGGTCCGCAATTGGACGAGCGCGATAGTATATTCGCCACTACGTACAGCACGCGTGAATCGCCAGAATCCTCTCCTCGGCTGTCTCCGGTGGTCGAAAGCCTAGCTGATGTTGGATCTCCGACTGAGAAGAGCAAGCAGATGGCGATCCCAGCCCAGAGGCTGAAGGAGCCTCCGATATTTCTGCAAAAGCATCGTGTAGGGAAACAGTCGTCCTCCACCATGCCAATGCCGATGCCGTATCCAATTGGCGTACATCGGCACATTGCAAGGCCTCCTGGAGCGATGGACGGTTCGGACGATCAACCCAGTCCGAGGCAGTATATTGGCACAAGCGGGGAGTCCCATACCATAGAACCTCACGACCCGCACACCATAGATAAGAGCAGCCCGAGTTCCATCAAGACCCTGACTACCCATTCGGCTGCAAGCAGCAGTCGCGGCCAGTCACCGCCACTAGAACCGCAATATGAAGAAGAACGAAAAATATACAGGTCATGGCGACAGGGAAAGCCAACGTTGGCCCGGGGCAAAACGGCTCAGTCGTCGCACGTCGACAAGAAGATCGAAGCGACCTTGCCCAAGGCGGATATGAGTGCGGTTGCGCGCAGTCGCAAAGCAAGTCATACCCTAGGGATCTTCAAGGAGAACGAGGCTGCGGAGGATAAGAGACGCACTGAGCACCTACGCGAGTTGATGGCTGCAGCGTCTCTGAGACAATCGCAGAGGGAGCATCGAAAGGTCGATGAACGAGACGACGAGGAAGAGTCTCCCGGGATACCGAAGCTACAGAAAGTAGTTGAACTAGCCCAAGCCCATCAACGTGATACACCAAGTAAGTAGAGGACCCCCAATGAAACTCACCTTGCATTCATCCATGAGGACGATAGATGCTAATACACGGTTGAGCAGAAAACAAGCAACAGGCTTCAGTCCCGGAAGACAGCGTACTTCAGTCTCCTGAGCCTATCATCTCACCTTCCACCAAACCAAGACGTCCCTATACACCAAGATCATCATTGGGTAGAGACTCACCTAGCACCTTGATAACCCTCAAGAAAGCAGCAGAGGATGAAAACGACTCCGATCGCGAGATATCAAAAGCACTGTATTTCCCTCATCGTCAGGTTACTCTCAATGAAGAAGGCTCAGAAGAGACCCGGACACCGTCGCCCAAAAAGGGTATACCGATCGAAACTCGACCTCGCCCGGTTCAGGATGCGGTTACGGCGTGGAAGGCCGACGAACTATGCCAAAGCCCCGGAGAGGTTGAGATTTCCATCAAGTCCCAGGACAAAAAGCAGCTGTTCCACGAAGTCGGTCGTCGAGCTACGGAAGAACCGAGTCTCCATCCGATTGACGAGGGTCCTTCCCGTGAGCCATTTGAAGACTCCAACAGAGCCCTGGTGGATGAGTTGAGTGCAGTAGAGGAATTCGACATGACACCGGCACCGCTAAGACGAACCAAGTCGCAATATCGTAGCCGTTCGAAGCCACCAGCCCCCCTCGGTGCCGTCGAGCTCGAGCCGTTCGATCATCAAGTCGGCGGACATTCGACCGTCTACCGCTTCTCTCGCGCCGCCGTTTGTAAACAGCTCAATAACCGTGAAAATGAGTTTTACGAGACCGTGGAGTTGCATCACCCGGAGCTGCTGGACTTTCTGCCCAGGTACGATACCTTATCATTCCTTTGCTGGCTTTGAAGCTGAGACCCAGCCAAGATACCTCCCCAACCTCGTCCCCCTCATATCCATGGTTGTTGTTCCTGTGTGCCGATGCTAATATGCAGTATTTAGGTATATCGGGGTCCTCAATGTGACATATCGGAAACCTTCGAAACGAAGGAAGACCGAGCAGGAGCAACCGGCTGGTGAAGGGGAGTCGAAGGATCCGGCTCGCCAAGACGAGGGGTTGCCACTCAAGCATTTAGTGAAAAACCAGCCACGGATTGTCAGCCATCAGCAAGCCGGAGCGCACGCCCAGGTACCGCAAGTGATCCTAGAGAACAATCGGCACATTATCCCTGAAGATCTGTTCGGCTTTCCACGGCAACGAGGTCGAAATGAATCTCTCTTGACGCAGTTGCACCGGGGCGATGATGATGCTGCCCTGGACACAAGCACTTCGACTGATAGTAGTCCATCGCGGCTGGCAATGAGACAAAATGCTATATGGGGAGCGACTACTGTGAACCGTAAGCTTCAGGAACAAGTCTTACGAGAGGTGTTCTCGCCTTCCCCCGTGCATCGCCACTCCAAACGAGAGCGCACCCACCCGAAAGTTCGAGCCTTCAAGGAAGCTCAGTCCTTCTCGGCGGCGTCATCCATGTCGGATCGCCGGAGTAGCATTGATTCATCCAACATCCACAGTGTAAGGCGGAATGGCTCGGGGTCCACCACGAATACGTCGTCGTTGTCGATCGATACCAGTTCCCTACCTCCAAGCATGTCCCAGTCTGCCGGCGATAGATCCGGCTTCGCCGGAGAGGCAGCATCTCGATCGCGTGCGGCGCTCGATACGGAGTCGGGTGAGGCTAGCAACCGATCAGCAATCTCAATTCCACGACGTCGACGCTCGGGGGGCAACCTCCGACGCACGCTCGTCGACCTCGAAACCAACAAGCGCACCGCTCTTGAATACCACGAAGACGAGGGGTATGGCGGCGACCGCGAAGACGAGGCCCCGAGGGAAGACCGGACTCGGCTCACGGCCAGTTCCTCTCACGCATCCAGCCATACCTCTTCCACGGGCTCCCACTCCTCTGAGAGCACGATCCGCACGAGCACCCGAGAAGACAACGGTCGATCCGAACGCTCTGACGCCCCGCTCCGAACCCAGCAAGAGAAATTGCCCAGCCCATACACGACTCCACTCAATCCTATCCAGTCTCAAACCCAGACTGACGCCCGCGTCGAGCACTTCATCCTCCTCGAAGATCTCACCGCCGGGATGTCGCGACCGTGCGTGCTAGACCTGAAGATGGGCACGCGCCAATACGGAGTAGAAGCGGACTCGCAAAAGCAGCGATCTCAGCGACGCAAATGCAAATCCACGACGTCGCGCGAGCTGGGGGTTCGGGTGTGCGGGATGCAGGTGTGGAGCAACAAGACGCAGTCCTACATCTTCGAAGACAAGTATTTCGGCCGCGACCTCAAATCCGGACGGGAGTTCCAGGACGCACTGAAGCGGTATTTCTTCGATGGACACAGCTACTCTCCCGCGAATCGGCATATCCCTGTCATCCTTGACAAGTTGGCCCGCCTTGAGGACATCATCTGGAGTTTGCCTGGCTATCGGTTCTACGCGAGCAGTCTGTTGATGCTGTATGACAGCGCTGTCGAGTTTGAGGCGGCCAGGGAGGAAGTAGCGGTCGGCTCGGGCGCCTCGGTTGACAGCAGCGCCGACCCGTCCCCGTCCAAGCCCCAGCCGACGCGTACGCCGCACATCCGCCTGAAGATCGTCGATTTCGCGAACTGCGTGACCGCGGAAGACCTAGCGGGGCGACCGGAGGGGTCGATTCGATGCCCGCCGCACAACGTGCACGGGATTGATCGCGGGTATCTGCGCGGAGTGCGTAGTCTGCGATTGTATTTCCAGCGCATATGGGCGGAGCTGAATGACAGGGAGTGGGTGGAACGTGGTGAGGGAGAGGGGATGAGCGTGGATCAGCGGGGAGAGATGAGGGGGACGGCGGGTACTAGATGGGAGGATGTGCTGGGAGGGGACGATGGAGAGGTGAGCGTGTGAAAGAGGAGGATTTGCGATGCGTTCCACGGATCGTTTTCGCTTTCGCTGTGCTTTATTATTATCGTTGCGTTTTATCGTCGTCATCAGCCTTTCGGCGTTTGATGACCTATGGGTCCGGGACGCGTCGCGCGTCGTTCTGGCGTGGTGGGCAATGGCTCCTCAGCATTATTAGCGTCCGGTTTCCGATCTTCAGGTTTCGAGGGTTTGTTTTCTTCGCTTTTAATTCGACGATCGAACAAATTGTTTTTGGCCGTGCACTTCGCGGCTTTTTTCGTCTTTTCCTAGAATGAGCTTCCGTGGTTGAGAGCTGGCTGGATTCGCATCCAGCAGGATCGCATGAGTGTACGGGCATGTATATATATATGAGCGGTGCGCCAAGCACGACAAATGGAAAACCCAGTAAATTCAGGGGGGCGCTTTCCTTTTCAGAGCGCAGGATTATCAGTCGCACGCCTTTGGTCATTGCTTCTTTATTATCTGACTATTTCTACCTCACTCCGCATCTAGCAGCTTCTGCGCCCACACAACAGATGCCTAACCATTTTCGATCATTGCAGCCAACTGAATCCAACCTGCCAACCCGAGGAGGGATCCACACCACAAGAATGTAGGAGAAAGGGGCTAAACGTACCGTCATTCTACATCTACATCCGCGCATAGTCCTTCATCTCCTCCCGTACGTCGGCTTGTAACGCATAGACCTCTTCCGCGCCCACCCCTTCATGGTGAGCGGGTGGCGGGAAAACCCTTCGAGGACATGGAGGAACTTCATCTGGTGGGTGATGCTGATTTATATCTGTGTTTCGCATTTCATCAGCAATACTGATAGGACTGATCTCACCAGGAGGACGGTCTCTCCAACCACACCATGGGCCCCTTTCCCCTAGCGGATGATCACCAAATCTTACCCTCCCAACCAACAGCACTCACCCAGAAAAGTCCTAAAAAGCAGGAATGAGGAAAATACAGGAGAAAGAGAAGGCAAACATCCACCAATGTATCTATGCCCATACCGATGGCCCATATCCCAGGTTTTATCCAGCTTGTCCACGGTCCGCAATTCCACCTCCATCTAGTGATTACCAGTCCGCAGATCGATGATCCGCGCCGATTCTCGCCGATAGGCGCATAATGCAACTTCCATCCCATGGTTCAGCATATGCCACGCCAGATCCAGGCGATTGTTTTCCCTCTATCGGAAAGAGAAACGGCGTTCATTGAGACCGCTTCTGAGAGTGGTGGACTCGAATGTACATCGTCGGCCATTTTCGTACTGGTATTGAACCAATACGAATTTCAGGGACGTAGTAATGCTTGCCTGGTAGGTCGAGATCGATTTAGATTCCCACAAGACAGCGAGGAACTGACACGATATGTCCGCAGCCGCTCTGGCTACCAGGAAAATTACCTGTAGCGGTCAGGAACTCATGTATCTCCTCGGACAGCCGAGTCGCTGCCTCCTTACAATATATATCAGACATTTGGCCAATGATCACGATTCGACAGATTGTTTGTGGAAAGCACCCCCTCATAGACGTCGATTACAGGAACGCCATGTGGTGCCGGGTGCACCAGTGGCCCCAGTCAGTTGCTCCACATTTAGGGCAGCGGGAGCGGGAGCTCCCATCGGATCGATCCTAGCATCTGCTTAGTGCTTAATTACTGCTTACTCTTCGTCTATTATTTATTTATTAATGCCTTACCAATTCTTCCTCCTGATGGGAATCGCAATTCATGAGTATGTAACTAGGTCGGAATTTTCTAAATCATTTGGGTGGAAACGGGATTTCAAAACGGAAAATCGACAATCTCCATGTGAAACAATGGTTCGCCAATCAGTACAGGTACCTAAGACAGGCTCAGAGCAAATCTATCGATGGGAGCGGACCTGCGTCACCCTGATGAAGGCGGTCATGGCAATCCTGGATAAGACGGAAGGATTGTAACAATTACTCCCAGGGCATGAGGTAACGGTTCATGACATGGCCGAAACGATGTTTCACATGCGCAGTTCGGATGTTTATTACTTTATTGAGACTGGTTCCTTGATCGGGCCGAAGATACACCTAAGGTAAATATTATGCCCTCTCCTGTTTCCTAACTTGAACTTAAGCCGTGACGCTGCGCCCTGAGGTTGCTTATCCGGTGGTCTCTTCCTGCATGTTTCCTTCTCTCGCCTTCTCTTTTCCCTCAACTACCAGCCAGTCGTCTTTTTGGGTTTCAATTCAAAATCGGTGTTGGTCTCTCTCGCATCGAGGCCGCGAGGCCGTCCAAGTAGCTGAGTTGAAGCATTTCTCAATGTGTATATTGACGGGGATCTCATGAGAGTGGACCACCTTGATGCGGGCGCAGAACTTAAACTTCAATGCTGTGTAATCCTTCGGATCACCCGAGTGCACGATAATACGATCATAATCCCATCCGTGACTCTTCGCGACGTTCCTGCGACACGCAATACCTCCCTTGGCAGTCATGAGAAACGCAAGACGAAGCCGGATCTACACTGTGAGGCGTTAGAGGGGGAACCGGAGTTTATATATCATTCTTTTATGAAAATGTCTCTCCCGACCGGTCTCCGGTTCCGAATTTACGGCGGCTTGGGAAAGGATTCGTCACTTGGATTTATCACTTGTCGCCTTATCGGGGGGATTGGCACTGTCGGAGACAACCATCGGATTTGTCATCCTCCCAGTCTCACAGCGATGGATCTAATTCCTTGTTGTACGGATGCGGACAAATAATACTGCAGTCTGCAGTGTCTAACTAGGGATTCCGATATTACACTCAGGTCCACCAAACTACAATCTGGACCAGATGGCATGATAAAATCACAACATACGTCCGTTAGCAATCTACTTGATAGACTGTAATTCTAATATGATTATTCCGAGAATCCTAGGGCAATGAACGACGAATACCGCTTTCACTCCGCGGACGAGGTACATCCCTGAATACCTGTGATCGTCTCTACATAATAATATTGCATTTGGATCCGTGATGACATCATGACCCCTCCTCTGGCCCCTCTCATTCTGCAGGCATGCTGTCAATTTCCATTTGATTTGTTGGTGCCATCCCTTCTTCGAATTATCTGGTGGTGGGTCGGTCCAAGGGCACGGATAGTGGAATTGTTAAATTCATGTCGTTTTCCTTTCTTCACTTCACTTCACATACTTTGAAGGGTATTTTTCTTTCATCCTCATTAGCCTGCGTGGCACAATTGGTTAGCGCGTGAGACTCTTATAACCAGGAATCTCAAGGCTGCGGGTTCGAATCCCGCCGTGGGTTATCTTTTTTGGCTTTTTTTGATTCAATCTTCATAGCCCAAGCCCCTTTAGTTCTGCTGTAGGACTGTGTTTTTCAACACGCTAGGTGCTATATTTTCTTCTATTTTGCTGATATATCAGAGGTACTGTTTTATTTATTTCTTCTCCACATACTCCATACAGTATTTGCATTTGTTGTCTCATTACCCTGTTGACTGTTGTCACTACTTCTAAGTTGTTATGGAGCTGCGGAGGGTCGGCAACGGCTTCCACCAACCGCCGACCCCGAGCCGTTACGACCCATTTTTCGAGATCCATCAATTGATAACTCTAACGTAATCCACCACGGAGCTGCGAATACCACCGAGTTGCGAACTTCAAATCTCACCAAAATCGGGATATTTCATAACCCGATATCTCAACAACAGCATCATAATAAAATCTAAAAGTTGATAGATAGACTTTACTAGTCATTTTAAGCCTTTACTCAAATTTATAGTTAGAGCTCTTGCTGTTGTAGTGGTAGATATACCTAGATCCTAGGTGCTGAAAGGTGCAAAAATCGACTATGACCTAGATATATCCACAACTACAATAGCAAGAGCTCTATAAATTTGAGTAAAGGCTTAAAATGGCTAGTAAAGTCTATCTATCAACTTTTAGATTTTATTATGATGCTGTTGTTGAGATATCGGGTTATGAAATATCCCCTAGGGGCTACGGAGGAACGGACATAAGATGTTCTGGAAGGTGTTGTGCAAGGTGTTGTGCGTGGTATTGTGTAAGACTTGCGGGCCGACTTGGTACGGTGGAGCATCGGCATCCAGAGCGAATCGGACTTCGGAATTCGGCACGTTCAAGATACACTAAGTTTTGCAATTGGGTATCTAATTGGTCTCAACTACCATTAAGATTTTCTCCTCTAAGGCTTGGTGTCACATGGGTCCCCAAATGGTCCATGATGTAATTTATTCTTTCACCTCCCTGGGGACACAATCAATGCAATCCATGGAGATCGGCAGTTGGCGCCACCGTAAACGCGAGAAAGGATGAGAAATCGAAATGATCGGGCTATAGAAGTGTTCGATCTGATCCACCGCGCGGACACCATTCTACAAGGAGAGTATCCTCAGCAATCCTTCAGTGTGGTCTACATATAGGTGGTGGACTGCTCTTAATCCTTCTTTTGCACCACTGGCATTGCACGACCACTTCGAGGCTCAAACATATTCGCCCAATCTCTTCACCGTAGGGCTGGAGCTAAGCTCATTGTTGTTGAGAAGGCATCCGTCTTCACATATCGGTGCCGCAACGAATCCACAGCCATCATGGAGGCGCCAAACCCAGAGTCCTCCAAGGACTCGAAACCACACTCTCCTACCAGCATCCCCCATTGGCGTCTGATCCGCGACCAAAGCGTCCTCACCCCCGATGTCATCGATCACGAATGGCCCGGCAGCGGGACCGAATCCGACCCTTACATCGTCAGCTGGCTCGACGCCGACGCCCGCAACCCGATGACCTGGAAAACGGCCACTAAATGGACCTACGCCATGGGCATGGCCGGCGCGACCTTGACCGTCGCCTTCTGCTCGTCCGCCTACAGCGGCGGGATCCGGCAGATCATCGCCGAATTCCAGTGCTCGCAGATCGTCGCGACCCTGGGCCTCTCGCTGTTCGTCATGGGCTTCGCCATCGGCCCGCTCTTCTGGGCGCCACTGAGCGAGATGTACGGCCGCCAGGTCCTGTTCGCGGGCACGTTCGCCGCGTACACGGCGTTCAATGCGGCGGCGGCAGGGAGCCAGAACATCTGGACGTTGATCATCCTGCGGTTCTGGGCGGGCGCGTTCGGGAGTAGCCCGCTCACGAACGCGGGAGGCGTCATTGCGGATATGTTCCCGGCGAACGAGCGGGGGCTCGCGATGGCGATTTTCAGCGCCGCGCCGTTCATGGGACCGGTGTTGGGACCGATTGCCGGGGGGTTTCTCGGGCACGCGGCGGGGTGGAGGTGGGTGGAAGGGTTGCTGGCGGCGGTTAGTGGGACGTTGTGGATCGTGGGCATGGTCCTCGTGCCTGAGACGTACACCCCCGTGCTTCTCCGCAAGCGTGCGGAGGCGCTGTCGAAGCTCACGGGCAAGGTGTACGTCTCCAAACTCCAGAAGGACACAGGCAAGACGTCCGTCAAAGAATTGTACATCACGGCGCTCTCCCGCCCGTGGATCCTCCTCATCCGCGAACCCATCGTCTTCATCCTCTCTACCTACATGGCCATCATCTACGGTACCCTCTACATGCTCTTCGGCGCCTACCCTATCGTCTACCAGCAAGGCCGCGGCTGGTCCGAAGGCATCGGCGGCCTCCCCTTCCTCGGTGTCGCTATCGGCATGCTCTTCGCCGTCGCCTACGTCATCTTCATCGGCGACCCGCACTACATGAAAGCCGTCCAAAAGAACGGCGGCTTCGCGCCTCCCGAGGCCCGCATCCCCATGCTAATCGTCGGCGGCGTCGTCCTCCCCATCGGCCTCTTCTGGTTCGCCTGGACAAACGACCCGGCCATCCCGTGGCCCGCAAGCGTCGCCGCCGGCATCCCGTTCGGGTTCGGCATGGTGCTGATTTTCCTCGGGACGATGAACTACCTCATTGACGCGTACACTATCTTCGCCGCGAGCGTGCTGGCCGCGTCGTCGGTGCTGCGGTCGTGCTTCGGTGCCGCGTTCCCGCTGTTCACGTCGTATATGTATCGGAGTCTGGGCATCCATTGGGCGAGCTCGATCCCAGCGTTCCTGGCGCTCGCGTGCGTGCCGTTTCCATTTCTATTCTATAAATACGGCGCCGGGATTCGGAAGCGGTGTAAGTATTCGGCGGAGTCGGATGCGTTCATGAGCCGGTTGCGGGGCGACGAAACGCCGCCGGAGGAGGGGGAGTTTGAGACGGAGGAGGAGAGGGATGTGGAGCGTGCGGAGACCCCGGCGCGGGTGGCGTCGAAGGAAAGGGATATGGAGAAGATGGAGGAAGAGGCGCCGGTGCAGGGTGCGGAGGAGGGAGAAGTTCAAGAGCGGCAACCCCGCGTCGAGAGCATCAGGACGGGGACGAGAGGGGAGGGTTTGGGGGAGTATGACGAGAGCCCGTTTGATATTGACCGAGTGAATACGAGAGAGAGCTTTAAGAAACGGAGCAGTGCCGACTTGGGAAGGAAGTAGAGTAACGCCAGTCGAAAGAGTGGCTAAGGCGGGATCTCGGATTTCATAAGTCAGTGGATTCGGTGATTTATTGGGTTTATATCACTTGCATGAGCGAAGGGCGTATCTAGCGGCTTGGACGGAGGAAATCAATAGGGACAGTTTACAACTAATAGCAACGGAAGTCATGGCATGGAAGTCATAGCATAACAGCGTAATATACCTACACGGAGCTTTTAATTCAGCCGCATCTATCCATCAAATCATGCCGATCATCCATTATCCTCCCAAATCCCCCCTCACTCCTTCATAATCTCCGCAATCTGCCTCGCAAGATCCACCATCCCCACATCCTTCCCCCTCCCCTCCTTCTCAATCCCCTGCACCGCCTCCAGCGCCTTCTCCTCCATCAATCGCTTCCTCCCCCGCTCCCCCATCGCCCCCGGCGCCTGCGCCAAATTTCCCACGCACGCCAACCCGCGGATGCCCACCTCCTCGCTCTCATCGCCGCACATGCCCACGATGCGGCGCACGCCGTTCTCCTGCTCCAGCACGGCCTCGACGCCGGGCTCCCACTCGGTTATCATGGCGAGGGCGCCGCCGGCGGCCATCCGGGTGGGGAGGTCGTCGGCGTCGGTGAGGGCAATGATGACCCGCAGGCGGGTGCGGGCGTCGCGAGAGTCGTCGACGAAGAGGGCAACGCCGACGGAGGAGGCCATGAGGTTGCAGACGAGCTCGGTGGCGGCGCGGACGAGGAGGGGTTGGGGGTTGAAGAGGAGGAGGGGGTCGATCTGGGGGAAG